GAGTGAGGTTGAAGGAAGTTTTGTTCTCTGTTTGGTGTTTTAGGGTAGACAGACCTGCCCATGTGTGTTGGCAAAGGATGAAACAGTGGCAGAGACGGAGCACGGAGGCAGGAAAGAGGTAGATTAATGGAGCAGGTTCTTGAGGGAGACAGGGAGCCTTGGGAGGCCCCATCTTCTTTCTATTAGATACACTTTTAGTTTTAGAATAGTTTTAGATCAACGGAAAAGTTGCAATGAGTCCCCGCTCGTGTGGCTCTGTTGGTTGGGCATCATCCCACAAACCAAAAGGTCACCAGTTCAGTTCTGGTCAGGGCACATGCCTAGGTTGCAGGTTCGGTCCCCATTTGGGGTGTCTATGGAAAGCAACCAGTTGATGTCTCTCACAGCAGTGTTTCTCTCTCACTCTTTCTCCCTTCCCCTCTCTCTGAAATATAAATATATAATATATATATATATAGGAGGCTATATAAAATATATAAATATATATATAAATACCAAAGATAGTGTAGAGTTCCCTCATATCCCTGCTGGTTCCCCCTGTAGGACCATCTCTTATTGCCAGCCATGTTACGGTTGTCACAGCCAAGAAACCAGCATTGGTTCATTAATGTTAACTAAACTAGACTTACTCAGTTTTCAGCAGTTTTTCCAGCTATTCCCCCCTCCACAATACTGTGTGACAGTTGAGTCTCCTTCATCTCCTCTGGTCTGGGCCAGTTTCTGTCTCCTTGTTTTCCATGACCTTGGCCATGTCTAGAAGTTCTGGTCAAGTGTTTTGTAGAGCATCCTCACTCTGGTATGTGTTGTGTTGTTCTCATGGCCCATCTTCTGAGAAGAAAATGAATCCTTTGAAGAAATGAAGACATTTCCAATAAAGCAATAAGGGGAAAAAACTATCCTTTTTCTCCCTGCAGTATGGATGAGACCGTTTCTGGCCCAAAGACAAAGGAGCTTTTCTCCACAAAACCGGAAGGTTTCCCTTTGGCTATAACTGGAAACGAGAGGCAACCGGGCAGGGCCTGGGTCTGGGAGTAGAGATGCTGGATTTTTGACTTCCATCCCCAGCAGACCAATTGGTGATTTTGGGCAGGTCTCCGTCCCTTTCGAGGGCTCTGTGAGCAGAGAATTATCTGAGCATCTGCATCCAACCTGCTCAGAACCTACAATGGTGGGTAACAGCAAAGAGCAGCCATGGCAACTGGATGACCGGCATTCCTACCACATGTCAGTTATTAACCTGAGAGGAAACCATCAACCTCTAGGCCTCCCAGACCCAGTTTTCTTATTTTATGGAGTCCCTTAATCATTGACTGGATGCCCTTTATTAAAGGCCAGAGTTCTCTTTGATTCTTGCTGGTCCCATTTGGTTGCTTCTGGTAGCCAAGGAGCTGGGGGCAAGAGGCAGGTGAGAGGCTGGGGAGCCTCTCTGTGCCACACCAAAAGGTGTTTTCTTCTTGGAAGTGCCCTGAACTCCTTAGATAGTGCTGCCCACACAAACATGGAGGCTATTACTAGGTGGCGCCAGTTATACCCATTTCATGGCTCTGTAATGCCCCCAGCCATGGCGACCCCACCACTGAAGCCATTTCTCCAATAGCAATACAGAAAATGGGGCAGCTAATAGCTTACACGGCATCTTCTCAGGCCAGTTAACTCAGTAATCAGATCAGAAAGGTCCTCAGGGCTCCCGTGATCCTGGTGAGCCACCTGCTCCCAGTCCTGCCCCAACCGCCCTCCCCGCACACTTGTGGGGAGGTTTTAGGTGTGAGACTGAGCTCTGTTACCGCTTTTTTCCATTTCGCCAGAGCCAGCTGCTTTTCCTTCCCCAGTGCTGCGAAGCGTTCTGGCTTTGACAGCCAAGCAGCGTAATGTGAGGTTCAGGACAAGGTGCAGACACGCAGGACTCAGATTCCTGTGTCTGACCTTGGCCTTGTCCTTGTCTGGGGTGAGAACTGAAGTCTTTCCCCTTCTGGTTCCAGTTCTCCGGGAAATGTCCTTCCCACCACCAGTGCATGTGGACCAGATAAATGACTGGCCTTCTACAGATTGGCTCGGGATCCTTAACGTAATAAAAATGGAAGAGGCCGCCTTGTTGGAGGTTTGCTGTTTGGGAGCCTGGTCATTATCCAAGCATGGCGTCACCTCCAGAGAGACCCAGCCCCTGCCCACGAGAAGCTCCCCTGTGCTCGGTGTAGCCTTCCATCATCTTTTGTAGTTTAGTCCTTTCAGGTGGGGTTGTTTTTGTTCTTTTCCTCATGACAGGTTTCAGAACTTTCCTGGCAGAGGAAAGGGTAGGGTGGGTAACTTAATCAATGAGAAGAATAAAATGACTTGAAGAGACTTCTTTGATAAGGGCAAGCCTAGAACAGAAAGGACAAGAAAGGACGCTGCCTCTCTTAAATCGCAGGCGCCCTGGGTGACACCACCACGAAGAAGGGAGCCAGAGGGAGGACTGAGGGAAAGGTCTGTGGCTAAGCGCCCACCAGAAGTTAGAACTACTGCCGAGGGTATGCGAAGCTCCGGCCAGCAGGGTCCTCAGGCGGATGCTTCGCATCCACAAGGAAGCCTGCGGCCTTTCTTCCATTTTCCAGGGGTCTGATTGGGCCTCCGTGTGTTGGGGTAGGGAGGAGGGAAGCATCACCTTTCTTTAACTCTCCAGGGCCCCAGGGGAGCTAGGCCAGTGTCTGCACACCACAGAGTCAAGACCCATTTGCGCCCTAGATGGTGTGGCTCAGTTCGTTGGAGCATCGTCCGATAGACCAAAAGCCTCAGCTTCGATTCCCAGTCAGGGCATGTGCCCAGGTTGCGGGTTTGGTCCCCAGTCAGGACGAGTACAAGAAGGCAACAGTTCAAGTTTCTATCTCATGTCAATGTCTGTCTGTGTGTGTGTGTGTGTGTCTCTTTTTCTGTCTCTCTGTCTTTCAGTCTCTTTCCCTTCCCCTGTCTCTAAAAGCAATAAAAAAAAATCCTTGGGTGAGGACTTAAAAAAAGAGCCACTTGGTACTTAGTGTTTGCTTATCTATTGCTCGGCACACAGGGATGCCCCAGCAGGGCCCCACCACGTCCCTGCTCTAACGGCGGTGCTCCTGAGTCAGGAGAACCCGGTCGGAACTGGAGCGCCCAGGGGAATGGCGGAGAGACTCTTACCCCCGTGGAGCCATGTCTGCTGTCTTTGGCTTACGCCAGGAGACCCTCGCTCACCTGCATGGCTTTTCTTAATAAGAGAGAAGACCCGTCACATTTGCTTTAACCCAAAGCTCTCTAGTTTGTTTTAACTCTAAAATTCCTGCTCCTTCATGGCTGGCACCCATGAGTTTTTCTTTTCCGCACTGTCCAACCACAGGGCATGTCGTGTTGTGTCATTCTTACTGATGTCTGGCGATGCCCTCCCTAAGATGAGGACTGAGAGCTTTAGGAAGATGCGGAGTGACTGTCCAAGGGGGTAGGAGTGCAGTAATTCTCACTATCACTTCTAATACTTGTAATATATAATCTCATTTATTTTTAGCCGTACTTCGTAAGCAAGGAAGGGCCACATCTCACCATTCCTGCTTTGTAGGTGGGAAAACTAAAGCAGTAGAACTCTGAGCCTGGAACTCCAGCCCCTCGGTGGGGAAACCCCAGGGCAGTGCGCACCTCTGCGGGTGCGGGCAGAGTTCTGACTGCACTGGCGGAGGTCTCGGGTTGCCCTTTCCACTGTTGCCATCCTTCCTCTCTACCCAGCACATCCAAATCCACTGTCAAGTCATGGGGAAAATGAGGAGAGCAAAGAAGGAAGGAAAGAGAGGCCTGTCCACACCCCTGGGCTAGCCCAGCTCCTCCAGCAGAGAACCAAGCTTCCTGGAGAGCAGGGCTCTGGCATAGGGCATCTCGGTTGAAAAGGGTGGGCCGGCGAAACCTGGTGCCTAGGCGTTGGCCCATAGCCCACCCCCTTCATGCGTCCAGCTGGCCACTACACTGCAGCCTGAGTCACTCCCCAGCAAGTCCTGGTACGAGTGTGAGAGACGGAGCTCAGCTGGCCCTGGGGGTGGGAGGAGGGCTTGGCAGGAGGCCACAGGCATCTCGTTCAGCAGGGCCAGGCCAAAATTTGGCAGCTCAGCTGGGCTCTTTATTGGGAAAGTCTGCCCTTTACGGTCCAGTATCTCAACTTGCCCACCTACGAAATGGGATTTTCATAAGATTGGAAGACTGCGTGGAGGTTTCTTGTCTGATGTTTATAAGGATCACTTGTAAGGAAGCAGGTACCTAACACCTAGAACTGGGCAGGTCAGCTGGTAAGACTTCCCTGTGCGGAAAGGGAGAGGACCAAACGTGAACCTAGAGGGGACTCTGAGGTCTGACAAGGAATCACAGCTGCCCTCCTTCGTGCATGGCCGTGCCCTTGGAGCAGCTTTTTTTTTTTTAATTGTATGGTATAGACCCGGAGTAGTACATGAACAGTTTAAAGAATAACTACAAAATGAATATCTATGTCACTGTCACCCAAGTCAAAAGCTGGAATATTGCTGGGGCCCCACACGCTGCCCCACAAAGTGCTCTTGTGAGAAATCCCTCCCTCCTACCACAGGTCACCACCACCTGACTTTATAATAATCACTTTTTTTCCTTTGTCATCTATATACACCCCTAAGTAGTACAGTAATATTTAATTACATGGAATCATGTTGAATGTATTTTTGTGGTTCCTCATTTGTTTAACCTCTTGAGATGCACTCATATTATTGCACACCGCTACAGTCCGTTCATTTTCGCTGCTGTATAGTATTCCATTGTCCATAAAGTAACCCATTCTACTGCTGCACTGCTAGTAGGTAATCAATCCCAGCTTACTGACATTTTTAGTAAATGGATTGATCCCCCGCTCCCAACCCCACACTGGCTATGCTAGTATAAATACACGGGTGAGGGACAGAGACTGAGTGGAGGCTCACCTTCAGCTCTCAGGGACGGGGCTCTCCCTGGCAGCCAGGATTAATGCCAACATCCTGTGTTTCCTGCAGCTTACTGGGATTGCAGTCCTTGCTATTGGACTATGGCTCCGATTCGACTCTCAGACCAAGAGCATCTTCGAACAAGAAAATACTCATTCCAGCTTCTACACAGGTGAGCATGGGGAGACTTGGCCCCCTCCAACTGTGGAGACCCTGTGTTGATCCAGGTGCATGGCCTTGGGAAAGACATTTGCTCTGACCCCATTGGCCAGTCACGTCCCTTCCAAGCCTTGCTTTTGTGTTGTTGCGCCCATGAATTTGCATCTGATTGATGTGGTTTCTTTTTTCATGCCAAGTCTGGCCTTTCGACTATTCTCTGATGGGAAGTTGGCTCACTAAAGTTGCTGCCATTCTTGAGGGTTTAAGAGCCTCTGTTCTCCTCGTCCCCAATCCTCTCTTCATGTCATGTTTTCTCAGGCTTAAGCAGCTCCTGAATTCATAAAACTTTGTCCTGGGAAATCCACAGTGCCAGGAAAAGGAGAGGTGACTCCTCTCCCGCTGTTTGGATGGGAGCTCTGAGACTCAACAGACGTGCCTCCTGGATAGCGACAGTAAAATTAGTAAGAGACTAGCAGAGACACCAGCCCTCTGGCCCCCTAGTGCAGGTATAAAGGCCAAGTGCCAAGTATCATTCGGTCACTTTTCACCACTGTATCGCCACGTAAACACCTCTGTACAATGAGTGAGAGCGCTGAAGCCTGTCAAACACAGCCGCCCACTTAGTTCCTGGGACGGCACACAGAATCTGTGGCTCTCCTTTCTTCCAGGGCTGGGGATAGGAAACATTTCATTTGCGAGAAACAAAAGCAGCCCCCTATTTTTAGGATGGTGCTATCATGTCATCAGGCTCAAAGTGTAAGTTTGGTCATTTCCTCCCCACCCACCAAAGAGTTATTTTTTTAAAAAGATGAAGAAAACAGTCTGAAGAGACTTATCACCCAGGCCTTCAGGAAGATCGCGGTGGCTGCCCACATGCAGGCCCTCCTCCTGCCGCCCAAGCAGGCCCGGCCCACTTGGTTGCATGGCACCCGGTCTCCTGGATAGTTACCCTGCTTTTATTATTTTTGTTGTCGTCATTTGGGTGTGCCTCCCTATTGTGAGAAAAAAAAGGGAAAGAAAAACAATGTTTTTTTAAACTATGCACAGAGTCTTTAGGGAGCTGGTCCTCACAGTGCCCTGACTCGTGTTAGCAACAGCTTGCTTTTCGTGAGGCTGCGGCAGCCCCGGAATGCCACCCGGCTGCGCTGGCGGAGCCAGAGAGGCGGGGGCAGGCGGGGGCAGGCGGGTGCTGAGGGCAGACCCTGAGCGCTCGCACCCTGTCATGTCACGTCACATCTCACCTGGGAGCTGCGAGCCCTCTTTGGGGAGAGCACGGAGCGCGGATTCACTGGAGGAATGCGGAAGCCAGGCCGTCCATTCCAGGCAGGTTATCCTCCAGGCAGAGCCCCCAGATACCTCCATTGTTCTCTGCAGGGGGCCTGGCTCCCATAGGGTCCCCAAATAGCCCCTCTCTGTGTGCTGTTTACTCACTCACACAGGCTGTTATCTATAATGTAACCCTGGTAACTCTTTAAGGTACATGGAATGATTCCCATCTCATTGAAGAAACTAAGGCCTAGGGAGTTAAATAACCTGTCTAAGCACATACCCATCAAAAGGTAGGGCTGGAATTTGAACCTAGTCCCATGGTAGTTGCTTCTTGTATTACCTGTGCTAGGTTGTGGGCAGGTCTCCCCTACGAAGGAATAGAAAATAACTGCACTGACTGGATGTTCCCTAGGAGTGGGGACAGGGCGGGAGCTCTTTTGGTCTTTGACTTTGCCCAGAGTATAGTTGCAAGAGAGCAACCCCAAGTATGAGTGGCCCAGGCCAGCAGATGACAAGTGGGAAAGTCATGTAGAGTGATAGGAGAGTGATAAGCATACTGTTCGGGGAGTCAGGACCTGCCTCTGGGAACCTCACAAGATTCGGGTACCCTAGGTTATTGCAGGCCCTCCCCATCTCCCCCCCTCCCACCCCGACCCACACCATGGCCAGCGGTCCTACCTTAAGCGACCAGGTTAGGGATTTGAAAGCACAATCCCAAAGAGACATAGCAATCCCTAGTTGGGGGCCGGTGGCAGCTGCCCCCTTAAACTCCAACAGAGGGAATAGACCCTTTGCAGCTAGACCCCCTGCCCGGGAAAGGGCTCAGCTTGCAGAAGCGCAGGGAACAGAGGGCCATGGAAGTGTCACTAGAACATCAGTCCCCTGGGTGGCCACTTGGGTCTAGCAGAGCCCTCTGCCCTTCACTGAGTGCGTTGGGGAACTGAATAATTGTCATCCATGGGCAAAGAACAGAGGAGGCTTTATATACTCTGTCCCCTTCCCACTTGGACGGTGACACCAGCCTTCGTATTGACCCATCACCCCTCTTCCAGTAAAGTGCTAGCTCCACCCCAGCCACTGGTCCCAACATCAAGGAGTGACCATTCCTGGCACAGGGCCTCTAACCATCTGCAGGGCAACCCACAGGCCAGCCTGGCCATGCAGCTGACCCGTCAGGAAACCTGAAGGACCCAGAAGGACCGCAGCTCCCAAAGTAGAGACAGAATGCATAACCAGACAGAGAAGCAAATGAAAAAGAAACATTCCAGCATCCAAAACAGTCCACAGTGAACCCAGAAGAGCTGACAGCCAGCCTTATATAGGCCTTCCCCGCAGTCAGGCCCTGGGAGAGTCAGCCCGTCAGCAGCATTCGCAATCCCAGGCTGCAAACATGTTGGGGGACTTCATTTTCTTGGTCTCAGGCCAGCAGCCCTTCTTAACTCCTTGGTGTCCTCCCAGAATCCCAGAACACAGCCACCTAATGAGGGCAACCAGAGGCCGTCGTCTGCCACAGTCCAAGACGATTCCCCTTTTATGACGGGGTGCCTGACAATTTCCAGGAAACACACTGCCCACAGTCAGCTGACTTCCCTGTTCCAGCCTGTGGCCCGGGGCAGTTTGTTTTGTTGTTCTGTGCTGCTTCTCCCCCACCCTGAAGTTGGCAGAGAACACACGCCCACCTCTCTGAGGCAGAGAACTCGGGCCTGGCAGACGGGTTCTCAGTGGTGCCCGTTAATGAGAACGGCCTTCAGGGGGACAGCAAGGGACCAAGAGAGCTGTTGAGAGCAGAGTTAGGGTTCCTAGGAACCCTAATGATGTTAATTGGAGATAATAAACTGTCCCTAGGCAAGTGGTGGCCAGACGTTCTGCTGGATTTTCTTCTCCACACAAACAGGTGTGGTGAGGGCTTTTCACAAGATGGGGTTGAGGTGACCGGAGGCTGTGTTCTCTGCCCAGCCAAAGCTGGGAGCCCTGATAAACAGGTAAAAAACATGCTCCGTTTCTGGTGTAAAGGACACCCTGGCATCTGCCATTGCTACACCAAGGGCTTTTTTAAAAAGCTGGCTATGTCAGCCTGGAAAAAAAGCAGAATAAACAGCCCTTAAGCAAATTAATACAGTAATCCTAGAGAAGGCTCCGTGACAAATAACTTTTTCCATGAGTCAGGCAGAGAGCCTGCATTCACTTGTTTTATAAAGGGGACGCATTGTCATCTGTCACGGCTGGTCTTTGCTGACGAGCTCAGGGTGGAAGCTAGGAGGAGCCGTGCTAGGGGAATCCCTGGATGGCCCTTTTAAGAAGCAGCCCACACCCTCCAGTGGTCCCATGGCTTCCAGGGGGCAGCGTGCAGAGGAGCTACCCTGTAGCTGCTGCTAAAATCCCACAGCTGCCAGGGAACTGGGGAGGATGAAGCCAGGACACCCCAGATCCACAGCTGCTTAAGCAAGATTTAAAACCAACAAGATCCTTTGTCCTAAAGTCTTCATCTGCTAAGGCTGAGAATGAATATTTCATATTAACTGAGGCCCATTAAGAGGCGTGTCTCTCTCCCCCCCCCTCCCCGCCCCTCCCCGCCCCCACCCCGGGAAATGCATTTTCCTGTCACAGCTCCCTAATGCTGCTCACCCAACACCTCGACTTCTGCCAGCGTCTCTGGGCTTTTACCACCTGGGATCTGGACTTAGAGAAAACATGTCTCTGTTCATTCCCACTCAACGGATTTCACATGCTTGTAAATCCTTTTGATCTCTTAATACCTCCTATTTATTCAGCCCCTGCTATGGAGCTCAAGAGTGACTCATCTTTCCTTGTGTCACTCCAACGAGATGGGGAGGAACTGGGGCCGTGTCACTGGCGCGGCAGGCCGGCGTCCCCGCGTCAGCCCTCCTGCTGCCGTGCTCAGGCGCAGGGCTGCGCCGCCTCTCCGAGTCCAGCCTGCAGCCCCTCAGTATTGCCCTGCCTGGGAGGGTGGGACTTGACTTGGGGACAAGCCGCATTTGTCCCCTCGCCCAATCTGGGCCAGGCATGCACAGGAACAATACTCATATTCATACAACATAGGGGTTTGCCAGTGAACCCACGTGACTTGACATCACGACAGATGTGGGGGGAAAGGGGAAGAGACACAAATGCTCCCTTGTGTGCCTTCTGCCCGATGCTGCCCGTGAGCTTCAGCTGCAGGCTGTGGGGTGTGTTGCCTGCAAAGCCTCAGCCCCATACGAGGGGTGCAGATGTGGGACAGTGAAGTCACTGACACCTGCCAGGGGTTCTCACTGCAGCATGCTGTTGTGTATTGTGTCAGAAACATCATAGAATCTCTCACGTCCGGCCCCTACTTCAAGAAAGTTGTCCTGGTACCAGTTAGCAGGGAGGGATCAGCAAGTGTACAAAAATTCATCCTTGGTATTAAGGTTAACAGTAGCTCACATTTGTTGTGCACATTGTGATTACGTATCGCTTAATCCTCACAACAACCCCATGGTGGACATCACTACCGTCAGACAGAAAAGTGTTGCAGACAGATTAAGCGGCTTTCAGACCCGGGCGTTCTGGGCTTCAGAGCCGGTGTTCCCCGCAGCCCCTCCCAAGGGTGGGTAGCACATGCCTGAAAGCCGGGGAGGCTCAGGACTCCTCTGCCCGTTTCTCCATGCGGCCTGCATGCAGAACAACTGTGGCTTCTCCAGAATATAACTGTAAGAGAGGCCCCTCTAGGCATCCCCTAGGGGGTGACTAGGGCTAGTATACTCCACTGTGTCCCCTGTCCCAGGAATGTGCGTTATGTTGGGCAGAGTCAGAAACTGTAGAAGTCACTGCCCTTCTTAACATACCCTCTCCGTCAGTCACAAAAATTGAGGGCTGAGAAACAGTATCATTCACTGGCCTCCCCACCCCCCAACAAGAGGATTGATCCTTTTCACACCTAGAGTAACCAAATTGCAACAGTAAGATCTCTTTAGTGTGCTATAAGGGAGGGACCTTTTGAAATTTTCTAGCAAGCAGCCTCTCATTTTACTGATAAATAAATTGAGCCCAGGCGCAGGAAAGTGTCTTATCCAAAATCACACAGAAATTAGTAGCAGAGTTAGGACCAAATCGAGGGCCTCCTGACACCAGGCCTGTCTTCTTTGCACTGGAGTGAGCTACGCTACCTTTGCCAGCCTGCGTCCTCGGGTGTTAGTAACTGCGTGCCTCGCTGCCCCCGGCAGCAGGGTGGGAGGCACCCATCCCTTCTGGGAAGCAGGCAGAGCTGGCCGCCTGAATGGGCACAGCCCCTCGCTGCTGAAAGCTCGCACTGACAGCCTCTCCTGTCAGGTGGAGGCCTGCAGGAGGCTCGTGAGAGTGCCAGGAATTCACCCCGAGCTTGGAGGGTCCGTTTCAGTGAGTGCGGGTGGATTCATCCAGCCAGAAACCGCTGACAGACTGAACCAGTCTGTGTCCTGAGTAGGATCTGGGGGTTCCCATGGGAATTCCTGGTCCCAGTTAAGGGATAATAGGCACCTCCCAGGAAGGCTGAGGGTAAGGGAGGAGTGAGGAGTTGATGGGATGGGGTCCTAGAAGAGAGACTGGTGGGAAGGAGACTTGAGAGCCAAGGTGGAAGGGGCGGCGTTTTGAGGAGAAAGCACTGCCTTCCGGAGATTGGGACAATAGGGATGGAGGGCAGCACAGTCGAATAGAGGGAAAAAGGAATTGTAGGAAATAGCTGGGCCACCACGATGATGTCTCCATGCCTTGTCCTCTGTCCTCTCCCCTCAGGAGTTTATATTCTGATTGGAGCCGGCGCCCTCATGATGCTGGTGGGTTTCCTGGGCTGCTGTGGGGCTGTGCAGGAGTCCCAGTGCATGCTGGGATTGGTGAGTGTCCCTTCTGTGTGCCCCACACCCACTCCAGGGCCCCCTACCCCCAAGGTCCCACAGATGGTGGGGTGGGGTGAACAGGGCACCCCAAGGGCATGAGCGGCCCTCAACCCCCCAGGGTCCCTCCACACCAGGCCCTACCGCGGCCTCCTCGCCGCACAGCAGGCTTGTCCTCTTCCTCTGTGGTGATGCCTTCCTCCTCTTCCTCTCTGGAGTCTCTATCTTATCACCGCCCCAACGCAACTAAATGCCAGGACTCAGTTCATTTGCTCTTTTTCCCCTGAATCCATAGGTACATATGCCTTCTCTTGTTTCGAGAATTTGTTACAGTTTTCCTCAAACTCCAGAGTGTTCACTTCCTAGTTCCTCAAATCTCTGATTTTGTGAGTGAGCAAAGGTATTGTATTGCCGACTGGCTCCTAATTAACTCCTTAGAAATACCAGTTCTGGGCTCAGCTGTGCCCAGGTCTTCCCCTGCTTTAGCTGTCGCTTACTTAGGCTTAACTCTTGCAGTTCTGTGAACCTCTTCATTTGTGTCCCCAGATGCCCAGTTCCCAGAGAATTGTCATTCTTCCTTGTTCTCCAGAATACTCTGATTTTTCTGGTTGGCTAGGATTGTTCCTCACCCCGCCCCCTTTTTGCCTTCTAGTTCTTTGGCTTCCTCTTGGTGATATTTGCCCTTGAAATAGCTGCAGCCATCTGGGGATACTCGCACAAAGACGAGGTAGGTTTTTTCTGTAAGATCGCTTGGGACGTGCGGTTGATACGGGTTTGAGAGGTTGCGGATGCAGGATCATGAGGGTAGAAGGGTGTCGTCCTGGCCACTTTGGTCAGCTTGCATCATGCCTGTTATTTCACCACATTCCCATGTGCCCCTCAGAATGTGAGCTTCCTTGGGGCAGGGAATGTGAGCGTTTATACTACCCTGGGCGGGTATTGTTCCAGCCACTGCTTCCGGTTCCCTGAACAGAGCTGGCACATAATAGACATTCAGGAAATAGCCGTTGGGTCTGTGTGTGTCTGTGGGCGTCTCACACCTCAGCAACCCTTCCCCAACTCTTCTGGAAAGATGGCTTAGGATGATTATGATTAGATTGAGGAGATTCCATTTTGTCCTTAGAAAGAAAAGGAGCTGAGTGGGGCTGAAGGGACCAACCGTAGGGTACAGGAGAAGGGAAAATGGCAGGAGCAGGTTCATAGAGAATCTTGGGAAGAAAGTAGGGCCCCAGAGATGCTGAGAGAGCGGCAATCTGCTCAGAAACATTTTCCAAGCACAAGAATTTGTTGGCTAAGTGTGAAGAAGACAGAATGGGCACAGGTGACATTTGTTCATTTGTTCTCCTATTCTCTCTCATTTATCTGTCCATCATAGGTGATTAAGGAACTCCAGGAATTTTACAAGGACACCTATGAAAAGCTGAAATCCAAGGATGAGCTCCAGAGGGAAACACTGAAAGCCATCCACTTAGCGGTATGTCTTCTCTGCAGAGACGCCAGCCAGTCTGCAGAACACATGCACACGGGGTATTTGCTGTACCATACCAGCACATCTCTAGTTCAGTCATGTTTTATGTGTTTCTCTTACCCCCATCCCTGCTCTTCTCTCTGCAGCTGAATTGCTGTGGTGTGGCTGGGGGTGTGGAACAATTCATCTCTGACATCTGCCCCAAAAAAGATGTACTCTCAACCATCACAACTAAGGTAAACTTTAAGGGCAAGACTTGTCGGTCCCTGCTCACTTGCTCTGGGCAAATCCCATGAGGGTAGAAGTGAAATCTGCCCCCTCGTTCTGGGAGGACAGGCATCCAAGTGCTCCATAAATTCTTCCACATGGAAGATCCCAGGGTGACTGTTTCATTTCTCCCCTACGCTGGTGCCTCTGTGTCCTCAAGGACAGCAAAGACCAGACCATTGAAACAGCCAAGTGTTCTAGCTGCCTGCAATGATCTGGCACTGGAACTACCCACTGCTGCCCCACATCCTGCCCCCTGCTTGTAGGCCTGTAAATGGCTCAAGACTGGAAACTAGAACTAATTCTAAATCTATTCAGAATTAATAGGATGTAGCCTCAGATAATAAATAAACCCAAGCAGAGGCTTACCCCTCTTCCATGATTTCTTACCCAAATATAAGAAACTCACCTTCTTAAATCTCTTGGTTCTCCTTTCCACCCACCAACCAAAGCCCCTGAACACTCCTGCCCACCCCCCGCTTTTCTCTGGAACCACCAATGTTCTGAGTGTGGAACGGGTGCTGTGGGAGGAAGGCGGTACGCCCAGAGCAGGGTGTGTGTGTAACCAGGGTCTTGGTTTGCCCCCCTAAGTCCTGCCCTGAGGCCATCAAAGAGGTCTTCCACAACAAATTTCACATCATCGGCGCCGTGGGCATCGGGATCGCCGTGGTGATGGTGAGTGCCCTGGATGTGGGGCGTGGGGTATCCTCTTAGTAGTCAACATTGCTTAAGCGCATGCTCTGGCCAGGCACCGGGTTAAATGCTTACACATTTATCAACTGACGGAATCCTCACCATACCTACGAGGAAGGAACCCTTAGCATTCCCATTCTAGAGACTAGGGAATAGAGAGAGAGAGAGGTTGAGTAAGTTAATCAAAGTCTCGGAGCTCATGAGTGAAGCGTTTGGGATCTGAACTCAGTGTCTCCAGAGTCCCTTCTCTTAGCCAGTGAGGTTCCGGGGTAAGCGTAAGATGACACCAATGCTGCTAGCCCCCAGACCGTGCACGGGCGGATGTAGGACCACGCGAGGATCTAGATCACCCCAGACCTATTAGTTATCCTGGGATAATCTTCAAAACATGTTTTCATCATGCACCTGTTCTTTTTCCCAAGAAAGTAGTTCAATAAAAGCCACATGGATGTGAATTATTTCACCTAAAAGGCATCCAGGGGTGGAGAGCCAAAAGGAAGCCTGAACGCATCAAATGATCTACTCTGTAGTAATCAGTTCCCAGAAACCAAGGTTCCCTGGGGTCTCTCCTCCTTCCCCAGGAGGGTGTGAGGAGAGCCCTTAAGACACATCCCTCCTCTGCTCCTCACAAGGCTACCTCAAAAGAGAGAATTGCTTCCATTCTTAGTGGTTATTTGTCCCTCTCATCTGCATCTAAGAAAAGCTTGGAGTAGCTTTCAGTAAAAGGGATAACAGTACCTTTTCAAACAGAATATAAAACACACAAATACACAAAGGTGGAAGCAAAAGTCCCAGCCTGTGTGGACTGGGAATATCTGAAATTTAAGCATTCGGTTTAGCTCTGAGTTTGCCTCAGCCTGGAAGTTCTCCAGGGAAGTTGCTGTGTAGCTTGCATTAGCCAGTGGCTGCAGGCTCCCAGAATCCCTACAACTCTCCTGTTTTGACAGTTAACTCATTTGACCTCCTGGTCACCATTTTCCTGGTCCTTTGTCTCGGCCTGAGTGACTCATGGCTTTCCTTCCACAAAGCCACCAGTGCTATTCCCCCTGTTCCCTCCTGTTTTTCAGATATTTGGCATGATCTTCAGTATGATCCTCTGCTGTAATATCCGCAGGAGCCGAGAGATGGTCTAGAGTCAGCTCGCATTCCTGAGCGGGAAGGTTCGCCCCTGAAGACTGTTGGTTATTTTCCTGGGGTTTTGTTATTGTTTTTGTATTGCTGTTGTTTTATTTTTTTGCCACTAACTTCTAGTATTCATTTTGCATTTCTAAACAACAAAAGCAGTTATTCTGTGTTTATCTTTTTAATGCTTTATTCACTATTGATTAGTTGAGAGATAAAGGGATTTGGTTGGCTTTGGTTTATAATTTTTGGTTGTTTTTGCTTATTACGTTAAGCAGAAATCCTGCAATGAAAGGTACTATATTTGCTAGACTCTAGACAAAAGATATTGTACATAAAGAGAATTTTTTTGGTTTTGAATAGATTTAAAAAATGTCTATCAAATTTAATCAGATTGTAACTTATGTTGAAGACAATTTGATACATAATAAAAGATTATGACAATATCCTGGACTGGTTTGGGGGAGTTGTGCTTCCTTTATTTGTTTTTTAGAGCTATGTATTTTTCACATGTCTTTCAACTGCTATTTGCTTTAACTGCATTTATAAGAGAAGTAGTTGGAAAGTTGGTCTTCCTTCTTCACTAATCAAGAAATCAAGGTGTGGAGTGATGAAGGGATTCTAACCCAAGATCACACATTTATTAATAGTGTCAACACTAAAACCCAACCCAGGACTCTTGCAGCAGTGTGTTGTATCTTGGGGATACAACAATCATTGTGAGCTCCCTGATGGCAGGGACTTCGTTTAGTCACTGCTGTGCCCCCAGCACTTAGAACCTAGTGTCTGGTGCAAATAGCTGCTCAGTATTTGTTATCAATTAATATTTGTTGGTTGATAAATGAGTACGTACCCATTAGGGTTCAATCCAAGAAGCAGAATATTAAATATTATCTATAAAGAGGAAGAAAGAGAATTTGTTACAAGGATTTGACCCTGCACAATCATTGGAGCTGGCCAAACAGCCTCTGCAAGATGGCTGTCTTTGCATCTGACACTGGAGCTTGAAGCCCACAGGGCAGATAGGAAGGACAGGTGGATGTGAGTTGGCAGAGGGCAAGAACAAGCTAGAATTCACAAGCCCAAGATTTTTAGAAGCCACATCTGAACCAGTTAGCAGTAGCCCTGCGAGTCGTCACCATCTGGGAGAGGGGGTGGGGAGGAGGGAACAGCTCCTCCTGAAGAGAGACAAATTTGTGTGGGCTCTTGTTCCTCTGGTGTTGGTATAGGTCCTGCCGACGCCCTGAGCCTATGTGCAATAGTATAGCTAAACACACATTGTCCAAGAGTTGGGGAGGCTGCAGTGAGCCAGCAAAAAAGGCAACAATTTGTATGAGCTACAAAATGACTGCTGCCCTGGCTGGTGTGGCTCAGTGGATTGAGTGCCAGCCTGCAAACCAAAAGGTCGCTGGTTTGATTCCCAGTCAGGGCACATGCCAGGGCCAGGTCCCCAGTAGGGTGTGTGCGAGGGGCACCCAATTGATATATCTCTCACATACCTAGCCCAGTTTTGGTCAAATATCTTTGTCCAGTCCCCTGGCAGGTAGAGGAAAGGAGTGCATGTAGTAAAGAGCCAGCCACCCTCTGACCTATAGACTGGGCCCAGGACCAGAAGAGGGGAGGGATCATTGAGAGCTGGTAGACACTGGAAAGGAACCAGCTGGTCCATCCTGCATCATTCCAGTGAAACAAGCTTGCTCTGACTCCTGGTGAGCCTGCTCAGGTGACACTCTGAGGTTAAGCAAAACCAAGATGGTGCATAGCCTTCAGGACCTGAAGGGCTTTGGGAGCAAAGGCCTTTAGGAAGTTTTAGATCACAAAAAGGCAACAGACTCTGCCAATAGCAACAATTAGCTGTGGGTCCAGAAAGAATCTCCTTAAGCAAAAGAGGAATACACAGCTGAGTAGGTTGGCCTCTTAGTTCAACTGTTAAGGCAGCCCAGTGAAACAAATTTGAATAAAAACAGCTGAATAGTAAAAGGTTATTACCTCGCCAGGTGCCCTTCAAGAAGTGAAAATGCTTTGAAATTCCCAACTCCTGGCGCTCTCCTCTAAAGCAGAGTGGTGCAAGGGTGAGGCCAAGGTTTTGACTAGTGTATTAAGACACTCCAAGAGTACAGGGAATTTTTGTTTCACTAAAAGTCGTGGGCATCTCATGAGCTTCATGGGCAAAGATGGAGAGGTATGGGTGGGCTTACAGCACGATGAGGCAGATCCATAGCTGGGCAGACACTCCCATACAAAGGGAAAGGTCTCTATTAATGAGCTAGGGGACCCTGCTTTGCCCTATCCTGGCCAATGTTTTCAATGATAACTTGGAATGTTATTAAATACTGTAAAGTTCAAAAAGCTCTGAGAAATATCCAGTAATTTGGGTAACACAGTTATAGTTCAAAGAGAGACTTCAGGGTCTGGAATAATGTATTAAGATACCCAAATACTGTATCTTAATAGGAATAAATAACAAGCAAATGAAGTCAAGCAATCCACAGTCCCTAGCTTGAGTAGGTTAAGCACCGTTTGGCTGGTTAGATAATAGGATTTTTCCCCTCGTATTAAGTCTGGAAGCAACAACAGGGGTTGACTTAGCAGCCAGGCACTGTCAAAGATGGCATCTCAGTGATTTTCTTGGCTTGTCCCTCATGGCCATGAGGTAGCTGCTGCAGCTCCAAACATTTCTACCTTCACAGCAGGAAGTAATGGAGAAGGACAAATGCTTGCTGAGGCTACCACTTACAGCTAAAAGGCAAAAGCTTCCTCAAACAGACTGGAAGCCAACTTCCATTTGTGTATCATTGGCCCAAATCTGTCACATGAGTACTCATAACTATGGCGGGGGGCGGGGGGGGCTGAGACCATATTTAATTTTTCCAGTCTACGGTGAAGGTAGAAAAGGGACAGATGAGTTGTGAATGTTTTATTCCATTTTACAGTTGGAGAACTTTAGGTTCAAAGACGTTAAATATTTGTCCCAAGATCATACAGTTGATATACTGAATGCAAACTTGAATCCAGGTTTATCTTTCTCCAGTTTCATACAGGATGCCTCCCAGAATTAATATCGTAAAAGGAAATTTAACAGCAACAAACTGGAACATCTTTTGATTGGAAGAGCTCATCAAATGTGGGGTGGGGAAACAATTTCATTTGAAATAAGACATGGAACTATAGCTTACCACAAACTTAAATGAGGCTATCTTGGGCTCCATCCAGAGAGGTGGGTGTCCAGATGGAGAGAGACAATAGAGTCACAGATGCCGTGGTCAGGTCCCAAGGCAGGATGATGCTCCAATCTGGAGCCGCTCCTTAAAAAGGAAGGTGGCTGGCCCTGGCGCTGTGGCTCAGTTGGTTGGAGCATCCCATGCACCAAAAGTTTTAGGGTTCAATCTCCTGTCAGGCTACTTTCAGAAGGCAACCAATCAATATTTTTCTCTCGTTTTCTCTCACATCAATGTCTCTCTCTGTCAATAAACCTGTCTCTCTCTAGTCAATAAACATATCCTCAGGTGAAGAGCGTGGGAGGGGGGGCGGGGGGGGGGCGAAGGGAGGTGGTCAACTACAGAGACCTGAAGGGGACAGACTTCATTGGGGAGTAGCCTAAAACCAAGTCATCCAAGAGGAGAGTGAAGGACCAGGGAATTCCCGGGAGGGGGCGGGGGGGGGGCGGGTCGCCACCAGGAGAAGAGCAACAACACAGTGATCTTTGTTTTCAAATATCTAGAGGGTTATAAGGGCTATACCAGGAGTATATGTTTGTCTCAGGACACAGAACAGATGAGTGAAACTCAAAGGGAAACATTTTGGCTGAACACAAAACTTAAAACCAGGAATCTCCAACAGAAGAGGCTCTCCAGGAGTAGCAGTCCTCCCAGAAGAGGCTGGAGATGGGCGTGTGCCAATTCTTGCACTGATGGGGACTTGAGGAATTCTTATATCCTTTTCATCCCTGAGCGCTTATAAAGATGTAGGTCACTAAGCCAAAAAAAAAAAAAATCATTATGGCGGTATCAAAGATGAGTTAGGGAGGATCTCTAATAAAGGTTAATGTAAGAGAACAGTTTCTATTTCTATGGGAAACCCCAAAATATTTCAAAATAATGTTTTACCTCTGAAATTGTTGCATTTTTTTCATTCTCAGTGCCATTCTTGGGCTCTTCGAGATCAAAGGAAGAGAGCACCAAAATCCTTAAATCATGGGGTTTGTCGGAAGGATGCTCAGAATCTCAGCAGTCATACCACCAATTCTGAGTTTCTGTGCGTTCTAGCCTACATTGTCCCACCGGCCGAGAAGTCGGGACCTGAGACAGTGGCTCGTCTCCCACATCTTCCTATGGACTCTGCTCCTCTCCCCCACCCCAGTATCATCTCTACATCTTTCTGCCTCTCACATTCAAGCTGTCTTAGCAAAACGGTTCTGAACAGGTTGTTTGGCACCGTCCAATAAGAAGCCTCCCAGTGTTGCTGCTGGGCGTACTTGGCCGCCGTGACTGAGCCCGGCCCTGCCCTGCGACCCTGACCCCGCCCCCTCCCCGCCCCTCTAGTCCTGGTCACCTGGCGCGTCCCCGCCTGTGCATCTGCGGCCGCTGTGTCCGCACCACTTCTCACGCCCGTGTGCGCCCCTGGACTGTGCACACAGACCTGCAGGCTCTGCCAGACTGGAGCGCTTGGCTCACCCCGTTCACGCACCGCGGCAGCTGCCACTTCCACTCCACCTTTTTCCTGAGCTGCTTGGCGAGCCGTCGCCCTCCCAAGAATTGGCCATCTGGCAGAGGTGGAGGACGGCTGTCTGCTCATCTCTGTCTGAGGCAACCGAAAGTTTCAAAACTTCAAATATCAATAGAAATTTGGTTGGCACCCCCGGAGTTCTATGAAATAAGACCACTCGAAAACTTTGCCCCATTCCCTGACTTGCACAAATTTTGTTTGGAGCATTAAATGGGGTGGACAGATGGATGCCAATCACATTATTAACTGCTGATAGGATCCCCCTTAGGAGATAAGATGTACTTAGAAGGTTAAAATTTTTTAGAAAATCTTTTGTTCATTGAGGAAAAAAGACTGAAGAAATCACGAAGGAAGGCAAGAAATTTCACCCAGCAGTGATAAACAATCGCCATGCTTATAGTATCCACAAGAGTTAGAAGTATAAACATGTTTGTTCTAAGAAGTAGGTAGTAGAAAGAGGCACTTGTAGTGTATTGCTTATTTGTAAGCTAGTCTATTTGAAATTATCTTAATGAATAATGATGGCTGACTAGACTTGCTTGGAACTGAGGGGACTTTGTGCCTGCAACTGTTATAGTACAGTCTTTCATATTTCAAAGGTAGTAGGGAAGCTCTAAAATAAGCTCTCTTGCTTATTTTATTCTTTAAACCTTACAGTGTCACACAAGTATAAAGTTTTAATGATTTTGTTATTGAAACAAAAAATTTCACAAAGATTTCCA